CAGATATGCCGCTTGGACTTTTCTACACAGAAAAAAATCCAGCCAAAGCATAATGCAGTGCATGGTGTCCCAAAACACATTCTGTATCTTTCTGACAAGAGATGATTTTATATGGTACATAGATCAACACCTTTAGGTATATGCTAGAATAAATATAAAGCTATTAGAGCATCCATCAAATACATAATTTCTCATATAGTGTTTCTCAGGATAAGTTTGATTTTTTAAAATAAATGTAAGTATAAAATTAAAAATATGAGAAAAATAATACAGGTAGGCCCCAGGTATGGCAAAAATCATCAGGTGGTAAGTGAATGAGACGTTTGTGAAACATCAGCATAGTGTCAAAAGTCTGCCGGTCCTACAGATCTGGGTTCAGAACCTGATCCTAACTAGGTCAGCAGTAGTAGTATGCTACTTGCCTTACGAATACTCTTATGCAAGTTTCCTGTTTTCTGATACATCTTTAAAATTAGAATACTCCTTCCAAACACACTCAGCTACCCAAACTATTGAGTGATGAGACACAGTACACATCCTGGCACGCAACAAATGTGGATCTCCTTCTCCTTCCCAAGGAAGAGATGAGGCAGTATATCTATTCCCTCTGACAAATGAGTAAACTTTAGGAGAGTGGAAACTTCTACTCACCTGGGACTTGGATGATCTGACTTCTCAAAGGAAAAGGCAGAATGCTGAAATGACGAGGCTGAGGAAGGAGAAAGGAGTTCTGAAAGTCTGCAATCGAAGAATTCAGATTAGCAACTCTGGGCCTTGCTGCGGTGGAACCGGAACTTTTGGTCCTTCCTCACTTGTCCCTCGCATTGTGGCGCTTCCTCCTCTCTGGTCCACACTGCACAGACTGTTGCCCAACCCAGATCCTAGGTGACGCCTGCCTCTCTCCGAGGGCAAATTCTCCATGACTTCTTCGTTTTGCCCATACCCTGGATGCAGTTATTTGATCCAATCCCTGCTCCCTGCAAGTGAAAGGGTCAAAAATAAGGCCTGTCCCCCCAGGAGCTCCAAGGTCAGTTCCCTCTTCCGGCCCCAACCTAGGTCCAGAAGCTCAAGCAGAGATCTCAGATCAGAGGCTTTTCCTCTCTGCCGGGATCCTGCTGTTGCGGAACTGCCACTGCCTTCACCCTCAACATCCTGACTTGTTAAGTGCAGCCCAGACTTGTGGGCCCCGAAAACTACCGCCTTCAGCGGGAGCCTTCCCACCGGCCGCAAACCATTGTCTTCCCGGGAGTTTCAAGCATGCCCGAAAGTTTACTGAGCACTCCCGGCAATATCCTGGAGGAGCGAGCAAGGGGTCGCTGGCCTTGGGAAGGGGTCCTAACCAACAGCAGGGTCCTTGGAGGGCGCAAGGTCCTAAAGGCACAAGAGCAGACAGACGAGATACACCGCTGCCACGGAGACGTTCCCAGCCGGTAGGCGGACGCGGCAACCGCGGGGACAGATTCTTGGGCTCCAAACCGCAACACCTCCACCAGCCACCCCCATTCGCCGGCCTTCCCCTAACCTCGGATACTCCTCTGAACTCCGCAGCCTCAGAACAGCTCCCCGACTCTTACCTTCGATGCGCACGCTAAAATCCGGAAGAGGCCCTTTGCTTTCGTGCGTTCTAAGAAGCCTCCCGGAGACCAGGCCCAGAATGCCCAGCGGCTGCCCAAGGACCGCCCCTCCCAGAGGCCTCAGCGGCACCGCTTAGTCCTCGCGACTCCGCGGATCCCGCGAGAGCCCGTTGGCTGCGGGGCTGAGGAGGGTCCTGATGCAGGATACAGCTCTGGACCGGTCCTTCCCGTGCGCCGCTAGCTCTGCATGTGTTTTGACTCGGGACGGAATTGTGCTGTCACTTGACCTATAAGCGACTCCCAGCCATCGGTAGCCACTAGCCATGTTTAGCTCTTAAGCACTTGAAATGTGGCTAGTCCAAAATGAGACGTGCTGTAACTATAATATACTGTATTTTTAAGACTTAGTTAAAAAAATTAAATAACTCACTAATAATTGTTATACTGATTACATGTTGAAATGGTAATATTTGGATATATTGAGTTAAATCTATTTTTAATTAATTTTACTTATTGCTTTTAATTGTATTAATGTGGCGGGTAGAAATTTTTAAATTATTTAGTATGGTTCACATTTGTGTCGTGGCTCACATTATATTTCTCTTGGACAATATTGCTCTTGAGCATCAGAACCTACGGGCAGGGAACTTACCTTGCTCAAATTTGTGTTCCCCACAGGTGCTAAAACAATCACTGACATATCTTTAACACGCTTAATTGAAACCCATTGACAGTATGAGAAGATTCTCGTCACCATATAAGATCAGCCTCTCCTCAGCCAAACACCAATTTCTGGTTATTGAAAAGGGTATTACTTAGTTGGAGAAAGCCAGAAAAGGTAGCCCTAAGTTAGAAAGTCAGGGGAGGTGGGAATAAGTTAAGCACTTAAGACTGAGCCAAGCTTCTGCTAAAAACAGGCAGCCTCAAATATAGGACATTTGAACCCTTGAATCAATTAGGGTTTATTCTTTTATCAGTTTGAAAACCCAAGAGCTCTAGCTTCAGGTGAGGCTTGATCCAGGCATAAAACAGTGTGACCAGAATTGAGATTTCTGTCTCCATTTCTTGGATTTAGTTCCTCTGTGTTTCTCTATTTATTGGCAGCCTCCTTCCTCTTCCACTGCCAGTATCTCCCAGGGCAACAGTCTTCCAGATTTATGTCCAGTGGAAAAACAGGAAGTCCAGAAATTGTCCCATTGACCCTGTTTACTGAAACTGGGGTTATATGCTTGTCTTAGCCAGAATCTTCTCAGAAACAGAGCTTGAGGCAAGGACTGGAGGCTTTTTTTTTTTTTAAGGTGCAAACCCATGCTAGCAAGGGCAAGAAAAGAAGGAAGTGTAGCAAGCAACAGTGTGAATCAAATTGAAGTGGTATAGGACTGGTTATTGCTTCATGTCAAGCCATGGTCTTCCATACTGATTCCAGAGTAATTTTGTAAAATTTAAATCCCATGTTAGCACTTTCTGGCCAAAAATCCTGCAGGATAAGGCCGATCTCTTTATTTAGTAAATTTAGCCAAGAATTCAAGTGTTCACCCAAAACTTCACAAAATGTTGTGTAGTATTCCCTGAGGATGTGACACGAACTAAATCTGGGAGGATGAGTAGGAGCTAACTAAAGAAGTTGGGCAGAAGGAAGAAAAAACTCCAGCACAGTTGATGAGCAGAAACCATGAAATAGCATGGAATATTTAGAGGACTATGAGCTCTTTATGGCTGGGGAAAAGTATGCTTGGGGGGAAGTTTGGGAGCTACTGCTAGAAAAATAGGCAATGCTCTATACCAATTGTTCTATTAAGGAATCTGTCCTTTATAAGAAACCATTTAGGGATTTCAAACAATAATTTGATCAGTTATGTGTTTTAAATGATCTCTCTAGCAGCAGTGGGGAAGATAGAGAGATGAGTCCATTAAATACAGGAAAAAAAAACAGGAATCTATTTAAGCAGTTAGGAAATGCTAAGAGCCTCATTAAAGCACTGACAATGGGACTAGAGAGGAGGATACATACTGAAGAGATCCCAAATAGGATACATAGGACCTAGTGATAGATTAGGGGAAATGATCAATGAGGGAGAGGGAGAAGTATAAACTGGAGAATTGGATGAGTGGTGGTACCATTTCCTGGATTAAGGATTACAGATTTTATTGAAAAAATTGAGTTGAGTTTTGAACATACTGACTTGGAGGTGACTATGAGATATCCAAGTGGAGATATCCAGTGGGATGTTGAATATAATGTTCTGGAGCTCAGGAGAGATTTCTAAGATACAGACATAGATGTGAGACATGTTGGGATGTTAACAAGATCAATCAGACAAAATGTATAGCTTGAGAAGACAATATGCCTAAGGACACAGCTCTGGGGAAGAACATTCACATAACCGCAGAAGAAGTGCCTGTGGGTTAAGTAGAATGAATGAATAGGCACTGATAAAAGGCAGAGCCAATGGGTAGGCTCTGAAGCATGACTTTTGAAAGATCTTCTTGGGGCAAAAGGAGATCTAAAAAGTAAAACCCTTATAATGGCAAAGTGCAGATATGTTAAGTTATTAAGGGCAAGTGTTTGGAAAGCTAGGCTAACAACTCAGAGAAAAAGTGCTCGAAAATATGACTCAGGTGAAAGGACATGAGTAATTAAAGAAGAGGATTCTCCATTTCTTCATCTATAAAGTGATGTTTCAATTAGGTGAATTCATAGACCCTCTCCAATTCTAAAGTTCTGATCTGAAGAGCTGGCATTGAAGAGTAAGTAGGATTCGGAACAGCAACCCTTTCTCCTGCTCTCCCACCGCTCCAGCAGCCCTCCCCATCACCCCACCCACCACCTCTTCACACCATCCACATGGTTCCCACAGAAGCTGCAATCTCTGCCTACAAGTGACTTGTTTAGAGGTGGGCAGCTGACCAAGCTGGGCCAGTAAGAGGCCTTCCCCAGGATTTTGAGATAAGTGAGAAAGAGAAGACAGCTTTTCTCTGGGTGATGGAAACTGAAGATAGTAAAATCTAAAGCTGATGGTAAGCATGATTTGCAATGAGGTGTTAAAAAAACCTAGAATGAAGAAAACACAAAGCAGAGGTGAGAGATGGAGAGAAACCTGTGCCTAGGTTTTCCCTGTTTCAGGTCCTGGTCTCTGTCCACTGTTATACTGTATCATTGCCTTGAATTACACGAGATACACTAATATCCTTCTATTAACACCTCCCTTTGAGACTTAACTAGCCTCAGTTGATTTCTGTTACTTGCAACTTAGAGTCTCAACTAATATATTTGATGTAGTCAGAGCCTGTATGGGAAGAAGTAAATGGAAGAGGAAGTTATAAAGAAGACTAGATGTAATGAAGGATCCTAAGTGCCAGGATTTGGTTTATAACTGGAGTAGTGGCTGTGGGGATGGAGATAAGGGGAAATCCATCAACATTTTGCAGAATCACTAAAACTTTAATGAAATTTTACCAGAATGAAAAATGAACATGTACAAAATCATTGTGGTCCTGACCTTGGCACTCAGCTTTCACAACATAGTAAGCAATGTCAACTAATTAATTAATGCTCATTCATTAATTAATGTTTATTAATTAGACAACTGTGTCCTAGCTCGTTTCTGTCTCCCTCCACATGTGAACTGTAACTTGCTAACATAGCCATCCTTTAAAATGCTACATGTGGTCAGTTGATCGTCTGTGGTATACCCTGCCATCTTAAGTACCCTGATTCAATTGTCAGTTTTCCTCCATTCCTAACAAAGGGGTTACAGTCAAGACTATACTTACTAAGGCAGGTGGACCAGTCTCTTTAATGGGACTCTTATTCATCAGACAGTTCCAGGTTCAGAAGTCAGGGACTAGAGAAGTTGGTGGAGGGATATCTTCTCCTTGTCCAACTGAAACTTTGGTGGGTTTGGCTGCTATTCAATAAGATGCAGATTTCTCTCTGGCTTCAAGGACGGCAAGTGCTGCTCCTTCTGGGGATGCAGCTCACCTGGTACTTCTAGACTGTTATTGAGAGAAGCTGATACTTCTTTGATGGATGATGATAGAGCTGTTGGTCCAGGAGATGCTTCAGCACCGGATATGGTTCCTATAGTTCTATGTCTCACTGGTGGGAAAATAAATTGGTCCAATCTCTGTGAAGGTCAGTTTGGCAGTATCCATTATACAAATGCACATAAATCCCAGTTCTAGGAACTTACCCTATGCATGTACTTATATGCATGAGAAATGAAAATGTTATGACTACTTATTGCAAGATCATATAAACAAAAGATCAGAAATCCAAAAAAGTCCATCTGTAGTGAAATGGCTAAAGTATATTCAAATCATGGAATACTCTGCAGCTATGAAAAAGAATGAGTAGGCACTTTATTTACTGATATGGAATGACCTCCATGATATACGGTGAAGCAATAAATGTAACATGCAGATGCATCTGTATAGGAGGCTGCCAGTTATTATTAAAAAGAAAAAATGTGTATTTGTATTCTCTCGGATATAAAATCTCTGGAAAGGCGCACAAAACACTAGTTATAAAAAACGGTTACTTCTAGGTAAATTTTGTGGTGGGGGATGGAAGAAGGCTTTTCACTTGTAAAAATGACTGTGTCTTATGAACTTCATACCATGCGAAAGTTTTCCCTTTTAAAAAAAATAAAATTTTAATTAAAAAAATAGGGGTGGTGATATTTCAAACAGTAGTTTCCAAATGCCAGTCTGAAAAGTCAGTCATTGCCCATGAAGATATTTAATCTACCATGAAATCATAAAAATAATAATGTATGAATTTTCTATTCTGTTGAATTTAATTTGAAGGGTCATCCTTTATTCTTGATTAAGTACTTTGTATGGAGGTATCAGTAGTTACCAATGTAGCATTTATTTACATGGTGGGCAAAATCAGAAGTTGGCATCATTATGTCAATTCCTCAGATTTAGAGTCCTGAAATTCAAAGCATAGAATGACTGATTTAGACTTGGTTTTTGTTCTCATGTTGAATAATCTGTTTTAACGCATTATTTTGGAAGGCATTCCTCTTGTGTATTTCATGGTGTCGAGTAAGAGATGAATTATAGCTGAAGGCTTTTCCACATTCATTACATTCATAAGGTTTTTCTCCTGTGTGATGCCTCTGATGTTTCTTAAAGGATGAATCATGCCTGTAGGCTTTCCCACAGCGGTTGCATTCATACGCTTTCACTCCTGTGTGAACAGTTTTGTGGTTGCTAAGGTGTATCCTCTGCCTAAAGGCTTTCCCACATTCCTTACATTTGTAGGGTCTCTCCCCGGTGTGAATTCTCTGGTGATGTGTCAGATACGCTCTATGACTAAAAGTTTTACAACACGCAGTGCATGCATAGGGCTTCTCCCCGGTATGAATTCTTATATGTTCACTAAGGTGTCTAATCTGTCTGAAGGTTTTGCCACATTCATTGCACGTAAAGGGTTTCTCTCCAGAATGAGTCCTCAAATGTTGGATCAAGCTAATGTTCTGGCTGAAGGCTTTCTGACATTTATCACATACGTAGGGTTTCTCCCCAGTGTGAGTTCTATGGTGCTGATTAAGGGATGAGCGATGTCTGAAGGCTTTGCCACATTCTTCACATTCAAAGGGTTTCTCACCAGTGTGGATTCTCTGGTGTGTCGTAAGGGATGCGCTTTGACTAAAGGCCCTTCCACATTCCTTACACCTGAAAGGTTTCTCACCCGTATGAATTCTCATGTGTTCAGTAAGGTGAATGGGTTGTTTGAAGGCCTTTTCACATATATTACACTCATAGGTTTTTGTTCTTATGTAACTCGTTGGATGGTTAATTACATCTAGTTTGTATCTGTTTTGCCTTCTAGGTGTGTCACACTTACGGCGCTTCTGTTCTATAACAACATCTGAACTCACAATATTTTTGCCGAATTTGTCAGTTTCTTGGCCTCTCCTCTTGTGAGTCAAGATGGGTTGTCTCGCGTCTCTTTCAGGGGTATCATGGTGCCTTTCTAATTCATCATCATATTTTGAGACTTTTCTCCATGTGGAATACATGACATCATCCCTCATGAACTTTCCCATCATCGTGCCGTAATTTAACTGTTTCTGTAAAATGTCTTTCTTTGCAGTTGACGCACTGGTTTCTGTCTTACTCTTCAAGTCTGAAAGAAATGGAGAAATGCACATAACTCATCTTCATTATGCTCTGAAAAATCAATTATTATACTGGGTATGGAATAGAGATTTAGATAACAATACATATAAAGTACATGAGATTTTGACTATATTTATATATGGTTATGTAGCCTGGAGAGGAAATGGGAAATTAAATTAAGAAACAATGACAGCAGATTTCTACTGTATAGCACAGGGAACTATGTTCAATGTCTTGCAGTAACCTATAATGGAAACGAATGTGAAAACGAATATATGTATGTATATGCATGACTGAACTATTATGCTATACACCAGAAACTGAAACAACATTGTAAACTGACTATACTTCAATAAAAAAAAAAAGAACAAACAGGGTAAAAGTGTGATTTTTACATACAGAGTTAAAAATTGAACATTTTATTCCTTTTCTATTAATACTAAATAATGAAATTTCAGGGCTGTGTCTTAACAATATGCCTTTTTTAAAAAACTTTTTTTTATTGAGTTATAGTCATTTTCCAACACTGTGTCAGATTCCAGTGTAGAGCACAATTTTTCAGTTATACATGAACATACACATATTCATTGTCACATTTTTTTTTTGCTGTGAGCTACCACAAGATCTTGTATATATTTCCCTGTGCTATACAGTATAATGTTGTTTATCTATTCTACATATGCCTGTCAGTATCTACAAATTTTGAACTAACAATATGTCTTTTTAATTGATAATTACTTTGGAAAACATTCTCAGAAAGATGAAAAGATTTCCCTTTTCCCACTCCAGCCAGTTCAAAAAATAAGGTTTGAACTAAGAACATTCACAAGAATGTCAAGCTGTCTATTATCGAAACTTGTATTAATATTTACACATTGTTTTGCTTCCTGTAGTTATTCACCTGTCCCAGGAAGTGTTATTTACGTAAGAAACCCAGCCTGCTATGTTGCAACGATTGCTATGTTCTATGAAAATATCCTTTAACCTTTAAAATTCTGACTGGTTTTTTTACTTGATAATTTATTGTACCATGACTAATATTTCAACTGACAGCTCTGTATTCCTGAATAGTGTGACTTCTCGTAGGATTTTTGATCAATACAGAAGGATCATTAGTACTTCCAAATTCCAAATTCTAAATGAATAGAGGCCATAATAAAGTCTGCGCTCTGCAGGCCCCCAAATAGGGAAGGAGGAAGAGAAGAAGAGGAGAGGGAGAGAGAGAACAGGCCATCTATGACCCCCTCCAATTCAGTATCCAAGCTGAAGCAGGTCCAAGCTAGGGGAGGAGAGAAGATTTAACTTTGAGGTTGGGAGTTTTTATTATTGCACCGAACTAAACATTTCACTAAAATCAGACTGTTCTTGTTATTTAAAGGGACTGGACTATCTACAGGACCTCTTTGAGATTTCACCCAGAGGCAGGGAAAGAACATTTGTGGTAGCTTTTATTATTATTTTCATTATTATAAGTTGAAAAAGACAAATCCCAGGAGAATGGACAAATGATTGGAATTAATAACAGAGTGCAACAAGGTGGCTGGCTAGAAGATCAAAACCAATCATGTTATTACACACTAGCAACAAAGAGGAGACATCATTTAAAAAATTTATAGCATCTACAATAGCAACAAAATGTAGGTTCTTCAGGACGAATCTGACGAAGAATGTGCCATGTGTAAAAACCTTTTATGGGGGAAAATTCTGAAACTATTTTTTTGAATTGGTAAATATCAATATTTACCAATATTAGTGGAGCAATATACCATGTTCCTGGACAGGAGGACTCACTGTCATACTATTAATTTTGCCTCCCCCAAATTGACCTATAAATTCAAGTCTATTCCAATCACTGTGTATGTGTGTAATCTGATGCATGCATTATGTAGTTCAAATGGAAAAGCATGGGGCTGACGACAGCCAGGACGATTTTGAAGAACAAAATATTAAGTCTCACTATGAAATACAATAATTAAGACAGCTTGGTATTACAGTAGGGATAGAAAATAGAAAAATGGAACAGAATAGAGTCCAGAAATAGACTCAAGGAAACCTGGCAGGTGACAGTGGCATTAACTATTCAATAAATGGTTCCTGGACTGATTATCCACATGGAAAAAGTGAAACAAGATCCTCACTTCACACTACATATAAAATAAATTCAGATTTAAACCTAAATAGGAAAAGCAAAATTAAAAAAATAACAAATAATATATATATATATTTCTATACATCAATAAGGAAAAAAATAGAAAAACTGGCAAAGGATATAAATAGGTAATTTACAAAAAAAGAAATCCTGGATGGATGGTCAGTAAACATGAAAATATGCTCCCTCTTATTAGTCATCAGGAAAATGAAAGGAACAACAAAATACCATATTCACCCACTAAATTTATAAAAATGTGAAAGGTTGACAATGCTAAGTGTTGACAAAGATGTTGAGTTCTGGAAACGCTTAAAACCTGCAACTGGTGCAACTACATTGAAGAGCAATTTGGTGAGACCTAGCAAAACGGAGGTGCATCTCCTCCATGGCCCAACAAGTCTGCTTCCAGCAAGTATCTCAGGGAAACACTTGCTTATATGCATAAGAATATACATACATGAAGATTTACTGCAGCATCTTTGTAACCCCCAAATTCAGGAACACTACAAATGTCTATGAACAGGAAAATGGATAAAGTGTAGTTTATGAATACAATGGAAATGAATGAACCAGAGCAATATGGGTAAATATCAACAGTGTTGAAAGAGAAAAGCAAGTGGGAGAAGCATATATACCATTTATTTAAAGAATAAGAACATGCAAAATAGTATTATATATTGTTCGGGGATATACACCACATGACATAAAAGTATGAAGACACATATAGCAATGAAAATATTTGAACTCAGAAGAGCTGGTTATTTCGAAAGGTAGGAGGGAAACAGCGGGGCTTCAACTCTTCTATTTCTTAATTCAACTGGAAGCTACACAGAAACTTATAATGTTCTCTATGCCTTTCTGAATGTCTAAATATTTCATAATAAAAGCAAAGTTGAGGAGATTGTTAAAGACCACTGGATTTGATGAGAAGGAATCCTGTGGTAATTTTTCTTGCAGGAATTTCCATAATAAAGTAGTCACAATAGATTCAGATACATGAGTTTAAAAACGAGTGAGAACAGAATTGGGATTGTAAAATGGAAGTCGGGGGACTGTGGAGACAGAATGCAAGAGAGAAGAGTAAAGATCTGTAGAATGTGATGGCAGTCCTGACAAGAGATTTGCTTTCTGTGAGGAGAGACCACGTACATCTGACTGCTTAAGAAAGGAACTCTGGATTGGCAGACTTTAGGATGCTAAAGAAAGAGGAAAAATCAAGTTTAACCTTAATAAAGAGAAGACTTCTCTTCCCTCCAATTCCAGAGAGAGCTTTGCAAGGTCAGATGAAGGAAAAGGGTGGCGAAGAGAGGGGTGAAATCGGGTTCAGTGCTTGTCCACTGGCCTCAGCCTTCCCCACAGCCTGGGGAGATGTGGGGCTCTCTGGCCTATATATTGGTTGCCTGAATGTTCTTATACACATGTCCCGTGAATGCAATTCATATCAGGTGGTAGGGACTATGATGAATGTGTTTTTTGTTTGTTTGTTTGTTCTGTTTGTTTTTGGGGGGGGAATTAGGTTTGTTTGTTTGTTTGTTTATTTAATGGAGGTACTGGGGATTGAACACAGGACCTCGTGCATGCTAAGCATGCACTCCACCACTGAGCTATGCTCTCCCCCTCTCTGGCCTACATATTAAAAGGTACCATCTGCCTTGGTCTCACCTGAACTCAGATCTCCTGGGCCTTCTTTCTCTGTCATCCATGGCTCCTCTCCTTTCTCCAACTGGGAAATCACACTAGGTTTGGAAAGTTGATATCCTGCTTATGGAGTGAAAAAAGAGTATGAATATTTCTGCTAAGGTTGAAGAACCATCCCTGGCATGTAGTTCCAGTCATCTGGCATTTAGGGTCTCTCAGAATGGAAAGGGGCACCGCAGCACGTCTTTCTATTCTCGTTCTACAAAGTAAAATTGTTCCCCCAAGAAAGGAGGTTCAGATACGCTCTAGCTTGATTTTCAAAGGAATGAGATATCAATCTCCAATACTGAACCCAAGGCCAAACTCCAGGGAATCCACAACATTTAATAATTTAGAAATTATGACTCTCCTGTAATACGCAGGTTTCTGGATGTAGGTTTAGCCCATCCTTACCCACTGAGACTAGGTGCCCATAGTTCTCCAGCATCACTTCCCGGTACAGATTCCGGTGAGCAGGGGCCAGCTGCTTCCACTCCTCCTGGGTGAAGTCCACACATATGTCCTTGAAGGTCAACAGTTCCTAGAACATCAAATATATTCCTTTTCAGTCAGACCACCTCCATCAAGGTCCAAGATGTCTGACAGTACTCTAAATCCTGAGAGATTCTAAACTGGTTTTACTGGGAGCCTCCTCTGGATCTGTTTGGCGATTCTCTGGAGATTAAGTAACTAAATATAGAGAAGTAAGAAGTAGATATAAATAAGTAACTAAATATAGAGAAGGATAGATGGTCATATGTGTCTTAGAAAAAAATTAAGCAGGATAAGGGAACAGGGAGAGTCACAGTGAGGACCTTTCATGCAGAATAGCTGGGGAAGGACTTCCTGCAAGGGTGCTATTTGACCAGAGACATGAATTCAGTGAGGAAGAGCCACGTGGACATCTGAGGGGACAGCATTCCAGGCAGGGACAAAAGACCTGAGGTGAGAGCATCCTTGGCTTGTCTGAGGAACAAGAGAGTGGCCAGCATTGCTGGAGGTGGGCTAGCGAAGGGGAGAGTGGGAGAGAATGAGATCAGAGGGGCTGGGGGAGGGGAGAGAGAGGCTTTCAGCACTTACTGTCACAAAGAAACCAGTGTGTTCCTGCCGAGCTGAAATTCTGGGGCCCTGCTGGAGTTTAATGCAAGATGAACGGAACTGTCTGGAACTGTGGTCTTACCTCTCCTTAGCTCAAATACTGAAGGGATTGAAAAGGATCAGCCCCTCAGCAGAGGTAGCTGGGTTAATCAGAAGTGAACTCAAAGTGTATGTCAGCCAGAACTCAGCCACAGCTCTAGGGAAAACATGAATACTCAGTCCCTCACCTTAACCACCAGTCAGAGGAAAGGGCTTAGAGTCTTCTGGAAATAAACAGAACAGACCAAACAAACAGACTATATCTATCTATCTATCTATTCATATATATATATATTTTTGGTGCTCAGTGGATATTTATTCACTTCACTTGATTTGATTTGATGTTGCGAATAGTTCATTGCTTCTTCCACTCAGTTTTTTTTTAAACTTCTTTTTAATTGAAGTATAGTCAGTTTACAATGTTGTATCAATTTCTGTATTTGACATCTTGTAGTAGCTTAAGGTGAAAAGGAATATGAAAACGAATATATGTGTATTCATGTATTTTTAATTTTTTAATTATTTATTAAGAGAAACTAGTCCTTGGCCCAGATAGTCACGTTTCAATTGAGGAACACAGGTCAGGGATAAACTTCCATGGAACTCAACCCAAAGAAATTCTTCACATTCCAAAATCACTTTGCACTCTGAAAGATACCCACCTTCCTCATCTCCTCAAAACCTTTCATGGAATCCTAATTTCTGCAGAAATCTGCATATGCCCTCTTTCTTGGTTCAGCCACAGCAAATTTATAGTAGGCTGCAACCCCCAGGGATACAACAAATGTTCCAACAATATGAAATCACAGATGCTTGGCCAAAAGGCCATGCATCCGAAGTTTTGTCAAACAGAGTTAATCTCCTCAACACCAAAATCCTTCCAGGCTGATGGAGAAATGGGCCTACCTATGCATACTTCACTCTCCACTGTTCTTGTATACACAATACCTGAATTGCAATAAAAAATTATTAGACATGTAAAGAAGGAAGAAAATCTGACCTATAATCAAGAAAATAAAAATCAAAAGAAGCAAAATCCCAGGTAACCAAGTCACTGGAATTAGCAGACAAGAAGTTTAAAGCAATTGCTTAAATGTATGTTGAAGAATTTACAATAAAATATGAATAGGTGAAAACACCAGGGTAACCGAGGAGAAAGAAAAGCTAAAAAAGAAGTAAAAGAAAATTCTACAACTGGCAAATAAAAGATCTGAAAAATTTACTGGCTACACTGAACAGCAGATTGGACCTGATGAAGACAAGATCAGTGAAATTTAAGGCAGGTCAATAGAAACTATTCAAACTGAAACACCGAGAGAGAGAGAAAACCCTGGGATAATATCAAATAGCCTAATATATATGTAGTTAGAATCTCAGAAGAAGAAGAGAGAATGGGCAAAAAAAAAAAGTATTTGAAGAAATAAAGGCCAAACAAATTTCCAAATTTAATTTAAAAACATTAACCCACGAATCCAAAAGCTCAACAAACCATCCCACCCAAAAAAACTAAAAAAAAAGTACTACGTCTATGCACCTCATTAAAACTTCTGAAGAGCAAAGATAAAAGGGAAGATCATAAAAGTAGTGAAAAGAAGGTAGGAAAGGAGAAACAAACAAACAAAAAAACCAAGAAAAGTTGGTATAAAACAAAGAAACGAACAGAAAGACGTCACATTTATGGGAAGAATAAGAATAATAGCTGACTTTTCATCCGAAACAATACAAGCTAAAAGATCATGGAACATCTTTAAAGTGTTTAAAGGAAAAAACAGCCACCCTAGAACTCTATATCCAGTAAAAGATCCTCAAATAGGAAGACCACATAAAGACAGATGCTGCGAGAATTTGTCACCAGAATACCCACACTACAGGAAATGCTAAGAGATGTTCTTTAGGCTGAAGGGAAATGATGCCATTTAGAAACTTGGAACTAAAGGAAGGAGTGAAAAGTGCCTGAATTGGTAAATATGTGGGCAAATATGAAAGACTCGATTTTTTTCCTTTTCTTAATTCCTTATAAGACAATTTACTGTTAAAAGCAAAAATAAGAACAATGTACTGTGGGGTGGATAACATGTAAAGTGAGAGGCGCAATGACAATACACAAAGAATGGGAAGGGTAAGTGGGGAAATGAGGCTTTCATATTATATGTGAAGCAGTATAATATTCAATGGTGACATGTTAAAAATGCATATTGTAAAAATATGAAAATGAATATATGTATGTACATGCATGACTGGGACATTGTGCTGTACACCAGAAACTGACACACTGTAATTGATTGTACTTCAATAAAAAAAAAACAAATAAATAAATAAATAAAAATTTTAAAATGCATATTGTAATGGCTAGAGCAACCACTAAAAACAGATCAAAAGTATAGCTATAAAAGTCACTAGAGGACATAAAATGGAATATTAAAAGACTACACAACCTAAAAGAAGGCAGGAGAGGAGCAACCAAGAAACAAAGAATAGATCTGACAAACAGCAAACAAAGAACAAGAGTATACACTTAAATCCCACCATATCAATGATTATGTAACTGTAAATGGGCTAAGCAAGCAAAACCTACCTATATTTAAGAAGGTCACACTTTTAATATAAAGACACAGATAGGTTAAAAGTAAAAGAATGGATAAAGCTATACCATACAAACAATAACTAAACACTGAAGGAGCTACGTTAAATCAGATAAAGTGGGCTAAGGAAAAAGAATATTATTAGGCATAAAGAAGAAATATTTCAAAGTGATAAATGGTCAGTTCATCAAGAAGATAACAATCCCACACATTTCAGAATTCAAAATAAATAAAATAGAGTTGACAGAACTAAAGGGAGATTTAGACCCTTTAATTAACCACATTAATTAGAGATTTTAACACTCTTTTCAGTAAATGAGAGAAGTAGACAAAAATTCATCAAGGATATAGGTTTGAACAACCTATCAGCCAACTTAACCTAATTGACATTTATAGACTACTACCAACAACTGCAGTATATAGATTTCTTTTTTAAAATAAACTCTTTGAGATTATACATTTATTATATATTAATATAATTTCATTATAGATTTATATGCAGTTATAAGAAATAATGCAGAGATCCCATGTATTCTCTACTAGGGGCAAAACAGAGCTTTGACTGGAAAGGGGCACAAGGGAACTTTCTGAGATGGTGGAAATGTTCTGTATCTTGATTTGGTTACATGGTGTATAAATATGTCAAAATAGAACTAAACACTTTCTTCAGTGTATTTTCCTATACGTAAACTAGAGCTCAATTTTAAGAAGTTTAATCTTTTCCAGTGCTAAAAATCCCATCAGTTTCTGATATATGTCAGGAGATAAAAAATCAGAATTCCAGATAAGTTGAATGTGGAGATAACTCTTCAAACATTAGACTATTATTACTGCTTCTATATTACTGGAAATACTCCTGGAATGCATTTCAGTCCTACAGGGTGTTAGTATCTGAATTAGCTGAGGAAACTGGGATTGTAAACACCTAAAAAAAATCACTGAGCAAGTAGATACAAGAGATAAGTTCAAATCCTATACTACTTTCAGAACCCAGGTTCTTCTCTCTTAAAACTCTTCTGTCCTTGAATAACATCGCTTACTCAAGTCCTCATCTCTCATTTATTCCATAGTTTTCCTTTTGTTTCACTTCCACTTCCACCAGGCGGTGAGGACACCGTTTCCACACCCTGTTGTAACCACACAGCGTGTCTAAAGTGTGTGGTCTGACCATTTCTTCTCCACTCACGTCTCCTTTGGCTGCAGTTTCGGCTCTGCTCCTGGTACTATTCTAAGGACCACCTCATGAAGTGATATGTGCACCTCACGAAGAATGTCAGAACTTTCTTTCTCACAAGTTTTAAGTATAAAATACTCATAAAAATTAAGGTTTAGCTTAGATCCCAGGGGTAGCTGTTGGGTTTTAGGGGCTAGAATTATGTCACTCATTTTGCTTTCTCTACAGAAATTTTCACAATGTTAGACCTAGATGTCGGTTAGAAACAAGCTTTCTATGAGTAGAGAAACTGCTGCCACTGGGGCCCAGTTTTCTATACGAGAGCAACTTGCACTGGGCTCCCTGGGTTGAATTTGTTAGCCTCAACACACCCCAACTCCAAAACAAAAGGCAAGTTATAATCTTAAAAACCAAGAAGCATGTCAAGAAAGTGACGGAAACTCCAACCCACCTGGAATTTTGCTGTCGGGGACCTGGGGGTCACTTCATCCTTTAAACTTTCTCCCTGGGTCTCATCAGCATCCTGAGACAGCAGAGCTGAAGAAGGAAAAGAGCTATGACGTTTGTATCTCCCCAAATCCCCCAAATAGAAAAGCTGCCTGCAGACCTGCTGAATGTGGCTCCTCTCTCATACATTCACAAAGACGGACACTGAGAGTGACTCAAGAGCAGACTGGAGCCTCCTTAGTGAGGAGGTGCTGCAGGGCATTGCTTTGGGCATTAATATTTCCCAATGGTCAATGATGGTCTAAAAGCACAGATCCACCAGCCCATGTCTTTGTTCAAAGATTCCTGACAAGGAAGAACAATATAGACACTTCCCATGGACTTCAAGGTGCTCTACAAGCTGCCTGAAGCGTTTCTCCCCAGCACTGATTTCCTCTAACCGCCATCCTTTACCTGTGGGACACATGTCAACCACATTCTTAACCCTGTTAGACTGGAAGAGTCTCCATTCTCTGAACCACTTTTCAAGGCATCCACTTTTGTATCCTTTCTCTGACTCTTCTATCAAAAACTTAGACATCTTCTAAAGCCCAGTTTCATAGCATCTGCTTTGTGAAAATTGCTCTAAGTACAATCAGAAGATTGTTTCCTGTCTCCTGTCTTCCACAACAATTTTACCATAGAATAATCTTGGGCTCCATCCTATTCTTTTGATCTGGGTATGTGTCTGTTTCTATCAACTCATAATTAGCATTAGGGATCATTACTCATTTTTCCATCTGTCAGGATGCTTAGCAAAGACCCTGCCTGACAGAGCTAGAATACAGTAAACACAGGCTGAATCTGAAGACTTAAAGGTATGAACTAAGAGACCACATGAAACATACGAATTCCTCTGTCCATCCATCTATCCTGATCAGACCACTAAATATTGTGTAACCTTGGACATGTTTCCCACAGAACTCATACATTTCAAGGTAAAATGAGAGTAACCAAGCATGTCATTCCTTCCACTTTGCAGGAGAGGAAAAGAAAGAAAAAATATTGGTTTGGGGCTAAAATGAATGAAACTTAAGAAGGAAAACCACTGGAGGGCTTAAGGGGGTAGAAACCTTTGACCCCGCTGTCTGTGAATCGCACGGATACACTTGGGAGCTGCTTGTGGGTAACACCCTGGATTCTGTCTTCTGTCATGTGTTTATTTGAGGATAGGGGATGGGAGCAGCATGGGGAACGTGTGACTGGGATCCAGTGCTGAGAGCCCAACATTTTCTCTCACAGCTGTCCTGTCCCCAAAGCCATAAGCATGAGCCCCAAGGAAGTGCTTTCCTCCAATTTTCTCCCCAGAGGGCTCCCTCCATGAAGTGTGTACCTATCCTTCCGCACATAACTAGAGAACCCTTCCCCCTCCTCCCTCCCGAGTCCATCATTCTACCCTCACCTTCTCCTTCAAATATCTTCGTCACATCCTCCCACAGGGGCGGCCCCTCCTTGGCCTTCTCTGGATGGTGCAGCTTCACCCAGGTGCTGGTGTCTGTGGGCAGGGTGATCAGGAGCTGCTGCAGCATGATGCTGCTGCCTGACTGGCCTTGTCCACTTCCCAGTGAGGAACCGGCCAGAGCCTACGCTGAGAGGCATCAAAGTTGCACGGTCCTCCTCTGATCACAGCCTCCTGCCCTCAGGACTTTGGCGCGTCCCTGCGGCAGGAGAACCTGGTGGCTCCTAGAGGCTGACGTGGCTTTAACAGCTCTGAAACACTGGCTCCTCTCTTAAATCAAGTACTGCCTCCTTGGGAGGCAGCTGGTTGAGTAGGTCTGAGTACATACTTCTTTATATTCTTCTAGCAGAGAAAAAGGCAGGAGACGAGGGATCCAGAAAACCGATCATACAGCTCCAACCTCCAGAACTTGCAGAAATATACTTAGAGCTGCAAAAGATCCAAAAACAATGATTTGGCTTCAATATGGGAATAAGTAGAACCAATGCTTTGCATGTGGCTCTATCTCCCAGTTACACACACACACACACAGCCAAAGACCCACACATACTCAGAGGCTCTACCTTGACCTCCCTCCTTGTAAGCACATGTATCTTCTGCCTGGACACAGATTTGGGAGGTAAGAGGATAAGCTTAGACCTCAGACAGCCTGGGTTAGAATTCTGACATTTGTACTTAAAAGCTCTAAGGTACTTCAACTCTCTGAGCTTCAGTTTCTTCATCTAGAAAATGGGGATAATTGTACTTCATAGGGTGCACTGATTAATTGAAACAATGTTTGCATACAGTAAACCCTCAATAAACATTATTATAGACCTTTTGCTTTAATGTTGCATCACAGCATTATCTAAGTTTAAAAATAAAACAATTACAGATCTGAATTTAAAGTCTGAGTATCTCAGCTGATGGAACAATCACATAGCCAAGTTTTCACATGGGCAAGCAGTGACAGACACATTGCCACCCACATGGATGTCCAGCAGCGGCAACTCCTCTAAACCTCTCTGTTAAGACGCACCCTGGTTTCAGAAAATGTAAAAATTGGGGGAGAGAGGTATGACTTCAAATGCAGGAAGTCGAGAACTTGATGTATAATGAGGACTATTGCAAAACTGTTTGTAAAAGGAAAATTTGGAAACAACCCAAATCTATCATCCCATCGAACCCCCTAGCATCTGAACAGGTCTCCACAGCGACCAGGTCCAGTGTACCTGGGCCCCAAGAACAGTCCTAGTGTTAGCTCCGTGGAAAGAAAGCCGGCCTAATTTTTTGAAGTTTGTGGGGCAGGGTATTTGGCTTCTTTTTGTTTTTAGCTGTGACTGATGCAGAGAAAGGAGCCTATGGATTGGAGCATGTGGAAAATATCCTGCCCCTGAATATATAAGATGTAAAATGGTTTGCAACCCAAGTGGAGAAACTTTCAAATCTTACTTAGGAAACAGTTAAAGACAGAGAAGCTTTATTTCGAGGATGCCCCTTCTCATTGCTCCCAGACATGCCTACCTCGGACTTACAGACTACAGACACAGGCTGCGAGCGGAGCCTCCTACTCACCAGACCGGCCTTGGAAGCTGGTAGGATCAGAGATGGGGGCGCGAGAGCACCCGTTCTTGAGGCTTTCAGCTCCAGAGGGTGTCTCTTTAGAGAAGACTGGGGATAACAGACTTTGTTCTTTCCCAGCCTTTTATAGGCAGATCGCATCCCTACCCAACACAATGATTCTTCAAAAATCGCCCAACGTTCACACAGCCTTCCTTCGGAACACCAGAGGACTGTCGGCCTCCGGACTGGGTGGGGGTCTTTTCCAAATTCCCCAGAGGCGGCCTAGGGCAGGTGCTGCGGCACCAGATCCCCCACTGCCCCTCCAAGGTGTCCCTTTCCCAGCCGCACCCTCAGGAGAGGAGCTTTGGGGACCGCAATGGGACGGGTGCCTTGAACCGGCTTTCCGCAGACAGGGGCGAGGATGCACCTCGCCGACTGCTGTTCTGATGCCGGGCCGGCGGCAGCGGCCAGATCCACCGGCGCAGCGCCTCCTGGGCCCCAGCCCTGGTATCTCGGCGCCTCCGCCCTCCCGACGCGGCTTGGCCTTTGCCCGCACCCCGGGTCGCCCTCACCCCAGCCCGGGCAGCCCCGGGTGCGGTCCCTGGACACAGCAGCGTAGCCACCAACCCCAGAGCCCGCGCGTCTTCCGGCGGGTTCCGCACGCCCAGCCGCCGGCTCCGCCCATGGGGAGCCGCCGAGGGCCCCGCCCTCTCGGGGAGGCAGGCGCTCGTGAAAACCCGGAGTCCGGAACCCCCGGAGCACGCCCCCCAGGGCTGCCAGTCCCTGGACAGCCCCACCCTGGCAGATCGCCCGCGTTTCCTGACAGAAGTCCCAAGAGAACACTTGGCCGCCCAGCTCCTCCGGTGGAGAAGCCCTTTCTCTGTCATTCATTCATTCATTCATTTGTGCAACAACTCTCTTCTGAGAGCCTAAATCCTCCACACATTGCTGCAGGCTCCAAGGAGATCCCAGTCATCAAAACACAGTCTCTTCTTTCTTGGATCTTAATTCTAGAAGAACGAAATAGATAATAATAATGTGGAATGGGAAGGTTGCCTGTCATACCAGTAAACAACCAACTGCCCACCATGAAGCCATCAGCCACGGATGGTGCACCCTGAGGGGAATTCAGGCTGGAGAAAAACAGGAAACATTCTGTGCTCTGGATACTGGCCCCAGATAGTTACCAGATGCATATCTAAGGAATAACTTCAATAAGCCCAGACTCTTCTATTTTCCTATACATAGAACAGCACTAAAATCATTAACTTGAGATGTCTGGGTGTTTTTGTGATTAACAGTAATCTTTTTATGTTTGACTACATGATTCTCTTCAGCAAAAACTCCTGTGTATCCTGGCTCCCCTCTTCGGAGCAGTTCCTCAGAGCTATCTGAGAGCCTGTCTCCCAGGCTATAGTCCTCAGTAAGGTCCTCAAGTAAAAATTAACTCACATCTTTCAGGTTGTGTATTTTCTTCAGTCCACAATAAATAGAAAAATAAAGAGTTAATATCTCAGGTGATGGTAAGGGCTATGAAGAAAAAGGAAGCAGCAGGTGGAGAGGGGGATAGAGGATGGCTGGAGTTCCTCTTTCTGGTAATAGTGGGCAGGGATTTTTATACCAACGCAACTCAGAAAACAACAGTCATGTTAAAAATAAAACTCTGTAATGAATATATATATATATATATCTTAAAAGGAATGTGTTACTAGGGCTTCCACCTCAGCTGACATCTTACTGAAACCCCATATTGAGTTCATCCTGAGCCAAAAACTCCCACCTAAGCAGCCTGTTAATTACTGACCCATTAAAAATATGAGATTAAAAAATGTTTAATTTTTTAAGCAATTAAGTTTTGGAGTTACTTGTCATGCAGAAATTCCTAATTAATACAGTGGCAAATTTTGATAACTAGCACAAGCAGCATTGTGACAGCTAACTTATCATCAGCAATAATGGAAGTCAGAAGACTGGGATGAAATCGTCAATGTGTTGAGAAGAAATAATTAGCAACCCAGAATTCAGTGCAGAATTTTCAAAAAATCTTTCCAGAATAAAGGAGAAATAAAGACACTTTCAAACAAACAAACAAACAAACAAAAATCAGAAACAGAGAGTTTGCTACCAGCAGACTACAGAAAGTTTAAAGAAAATTTTCAAGGCAGAAAGAAAATGATTCCAGACAAAAGGACTAAAATGCAAAAAAGAAAGAAGAACAATGACAGCAAAATATGTGCCTCAATCTAAATGAGAATTAATGATGTAGAGTAAATATCTTAGTAATTTGTGAGGTTTAAAAAAATCAAATTAAAATATCTGAGAAAAATAACATATAGGTTGAAAGGGGCATGAATGAAGTTAAAGTTTTCTAAATTAAAGTGTCATAGTTGAAGTGTTCAAGGACTATTGTGGAGGAGAGAATTATTCATTAACATTAAATTTTGGTAAGTAGAAAATGTATATTGTTAACTGGTAGACTTATATTACTGAATATGAAAACCTATTATAAAGTTATAGTAATTAAGACAATAAGGTAGGTATTAGTGCAAGAATAGACAAACTGAACAATGGAAAATAAGAGTCCAAATTCAGACCTATGTATAGACCATCACCTGATTTAGGACAAGGGTGGAGAAAAAGAAGATCTTCTAAATAAATTGGTGATAGGTCAATTAAATATTCATATTAATCCTTACTTTACAACATAAACAAAAATCAGTCCAGTTGGATTACAAATCTAAAAGTGATAAGTAAAACAATAAATTTTTTAGAAGAAAATAGGAGAATATTTTTATGACCTTGAAGTGGCATACATTTATTACATGGGATAAAAAATGCTAAACTTAAAGGACAAAATTGAAAAATTAATCCACATTAAAATTAAGGACCAGACATTTCAGGTGCTTTTGGTGAGAGTATAAACTGGTACAACTCTTTCAGAAAAGTATTTAGCAGTAGTATTTACTAAAGCTGAACATTATGATCCAGCAATCTCATCCTTAGGTATATAACCAACAGAAATGCATACAAACATTCACCAAAAGACATATTCTAGAATGTTCCTAGAACACTCTTAATATTAACCCCAAACTGGAAACAACCCAATGCCCATCAGCAGTGCAGTGGGCAAATAAATACTGTTATATCATACAATGTGGAGTACACACAACAATGAAAATAAACAGACTAAAACTACACACAACAATGTTGATGAATCTCACAAATACAGTATTGAGCAAAAGAAGTCAGACACAAAATAATACATATGATTCTATTTAAGTAAATTAAAAAAACAGGTTAAACTAATCTATGATGTTAGAAGCTAACTTTTTTTTTAACATTTTTTATTGATTTCTAATCATTTTACAATGTTGTGTCAAATTCCAGTGTAGAGCACAATTTTTCAGTTATATATGAACATATATATATTCATTGTCACATTTTTTTCTCTGTGAGCTACCATAGGAAGTTACCTTTTAGAGGACAGTCACTACAAGGGGGCTCTGAAAAAAGAGCATCTTAGCAGAAGGTAAAGAACTTGAGCTGGGAGCATGTGTGGGCATATGCATGGATCACCAAGGAATGCCATATTGCTTGAGGCAAATCATGGTAAGAACATAAAATGGATGCTTTCTGGAGAATAAACTGCGGGGGATGCAAGTGTGCAATAATCTGTGTGAAAGAAAATAGGTGGTAGCAATGGAGGTGATGAGAAAAGGTATATTTTGAAGACAGAATCGACAGAATTTTCTGGTGGGTTGAACATAGTTTCAGAGAAAGAGGAGTCAAGGATGATCTGATTGAGCAATTGGATGTTTCTATTTATTGAGACAGGAAATACTGGGAGCAGAGCAGGTTTGGAAATGGACTTGTTAAATCTGAAATGCCCAATACATACCCAAGAGTCAATATGCAGTTGGAATTAAGAATCCGAAGTGCTGAGAGAGATTGTGGCTGGGAACATAAATTCGGGTGTTCTATAGTCTGAACGTTTGTGACCCTTTCAAACTCGTATGCTGAAATCCTAATAATTGATGATGGTTAGGAGGTGGGGCATTTGGGAGCTGATTGGGTCAGGAGGGTGGAACTCTCATGAATGACATTAGTGACCTTAAAAAAGACACCCATGGGTCTGTCTCCCTAGCCCCTCCACCATGTAAGGACACAGCGAGAAGTCAGCAGTCTGCAACCAGGAAGAGGACTTTCACCAGAACCTGACTATGCTGGTATCCTGATCTTGGACTTCCAGCCTCCAAAACTGTGAGCAATAAATTTCTGATGTTTAGAAGCCACCCAGTCTATGATATTTCGGTTATAGCAACCAGAACAGACAGAGATGGGGTGTTTGCAATATACATGCAGGGAGTTGGGGGTGTCTGCAAGGGCATGCCTGAAGCTGGGTAGGGAGACAAGGGAGGATGTGACGAGTAGAGGTCGGTGAAGAAGTGATACGGCATTGGTACTAGCGGGTTCGAAAAAATTTTCAAACTGGGTACTAGAGTGTGTCTGTTGGAAAGAAATACATCCAAAAATTTTTGTGCATGTACTAAAAATAAGTAATAGAAAATTTAACATCTTAACTACTTTTAAGTGTACAGTTCCGTAGTGTTAAGTATATTCAGATTGCTGTGGAACACATCTCCAGAATTTTTTCATCTTGCAAAACTAAAACTCTGTGCCCATTAAACAATGACTTCCTCCCCTGCCCCACTTATTCCTGCAAACACCACTCTACTTTATGTTTCTATGAATTTGACTACTTTTGCTACCTCTTAAATAAGTGGAATCATACAGTATTTGTCTTTTTATAGCAGAATTTTTACATTGGTAATATCTGGGTACTGTCATGTTTGTTTTCCTATATATCTCTGTGTTTTCATAAAGGAACATTTGCTTTTTAAATAAGTTTAAAAACCATAAAATGCAACATTAATAGTTTCTATTTTTGAGTGACTCTGTATACCAGTTATAACAAATTTGTTGTGGAGTGCCTATTAAAAATGCTTCTTTACAGATGGAAAAATAAGATTAAGAAAAAATAAGTAATTTGACCAAGATCACCAGCTAGAGGTGGTGGTGGTAGAGCTGGAATTTAAATACAGATTTTTATGATTCCTGAGTGCAAGCTTTTTACCACTCTGCTATGAAGGCTCAGGATCTGAGCATCATTTAATATTTAGTAAAAAACAATTTCAATTCTAAAAACATATAAAACCTGATTCCATCATGTAAAAGCACACATAGGCAAAGAGGACACAAAATAACAAAAGTGAACTTCAAATTTACTGTGTACTGAATGTTGACATTGGCACACCCCACCCCCACTCCCCAAACATCACCCATGAATAAGTATTGAATTTTTAATACTTTTAGAGAATTAAAATAGGTGAAAGAGAGAAAGGAGGATGTGGGGAGAGGACACAAATCCAACAGAGTTGGGAGAACTAGTGTGGAATACTAAGGTTTATTCAGAAGTTTAAGTAGGTATAATACTGTACGTCTGCTCAAGCCTGGGTGGCTTAAACAACAGAAATTTATTTCTCACAGTTCTGGAGGCTGAGAAGTCCAAGATCAAGGTGCTGGTAAGGAAGGCTTCATTCTGAGGCATCTTCTTTTGGCCCATAGGCAGCCACCATCTCATTGTGTGCTAACATGACCTCTTCTGTGTGCTTGCAGGAGTGAGAGACAGAAGAGGAAAAGGGAGAGTTCATTGTCTGGTGTCGCTTCTTAAGGGCACTAATCCCATCACGAAGCCCCACTCTCATGATCTCATCTCCCTCTAACAATCTCCAAAAACTCCTTCTCCAAATGCCATTACATTGGGTGTCAGGGCTTCTCCATACATATTTTGAAAAGGAACTTTTAGAAAAATAAACATAGAGGAAACTTGCCAATGTTTTGAAATCAATTACATCTATTTTCATAAAAACATGTCTCATTGGAGAAATTAAAAGTCACATGAATGTCACACACAGCCCAGCTTCTGTCTCAGGAGTTTAAACCAACCAACATTTTGACTGCTTAGCTGTTCAACCCCATTTCATTGAGATGATGTAGTTTAAATAAGGTCATCTGTGTAGATGTACAGAGTGTGTTTGGCACAACCAGTTGAAAGGGGATGACAAACAATGAGGGGTATTCAGATAATTGACTAGCAATTTGGAAATAGAAATGTTTAGATCTCAATTATATCGGATGTAAAAACACAGACTCAAAATATAGGAAATAACCTTTTCAGTGACGTTGAGATGAACAAAAGTCAAAAAATAAATTCTATATGGAGGGATGAGTTAAAATGGGATAGGAAACTGTTGAAGGGGCCTGGCTTTCCCTGCAAGAAGGGGCTGCAGGTGCCACAGCTCAGACTCCATTTCCACCTTGTTTCTACCCCTGTCTCTAGTGTGTCTGATGTCCCCAATTCCAGAGCAACTCGTCCTTTTCCAGAGAATAAACTCTAGTCTCCTTTGGGATGAGGGAAGGCGGTAATGTAAATTCGTGTTTACAACACAAAGATAAACTCATTCAGTTAAGCAGCCATATTTACCTGTACTTTTAACAAATTAACTTAAAAATGCCCGTCTGTCTTAACAGTATGTCAGTTATGAGTCACAGCTCTCAGGGGGCTTATAAATCCTGATCCATTTGCAAAGAAATAAAAGAAACAAAAAGATTTCCCTACCTGTAAAGTCTAGGTGAGAAAGTATAGGAATTACTCTACTGTCATCATAGATACATAATTCAATTCACTTCAAATCAAAATAATTCAACAAATATTTATTGAGTCCCTACTATGTGCCAGGATCTATTCCAGATCCCTGCTCTTGTGTTGGTACATAATAGTAAGGGGAGATAGCAGTAAATAAGCATAATAAACACGTAAAGTGCCTAGTATGTTAGGTGATATGTGTATGGACAAAGAAAGAACAAGTTAAGGGGGGTTGGGAAAATTGAAATTGGCGGGTAAGGGACAGCTGCAATATCAGAATAGACATCAGTGAAAAGACAAGATTTGAGAAAAGATGAGAAGAGAAAGGTATGAAAAGGAGCAGCTAGTGCAAAGGCCCGATGGCAGGATCAGGCTGGAGTTCAGAAGGGAGATCTGGGCTAGAGATGCGAATTTGGCATTTAAACCAAGGTGACATTTTAAGCCATAAGACATGAGATCACTGAGGCACAGGTGGTAGACAGAGAAAAGTGATGGTCATGCCTGTCACTAAAAGAAGCAATCAGAGAAACCCAAATTCTTGGGAAATCTAAGACCATAGAGACATGGAAGAATGTATATACAAGAAACAGTGTGCATCCCCACTCTGTCCTTCTGCCCATCAAAATCATACAAACTTAGGAGTTAGAGGCTAGTGTAGAATTTTTTTAAAAATATAATAGGAAAAATCTAGGGATAATGGTATATATATTCTGGATTAATAGCTTTACTTTTGATAGTTCACACAATGCACAGGCAGTTAAATTCTTTGTTCTGCCATTTAAGAGTAAGAAGTTGAACTTGACCAATCTCCAGTTATGTTCAAAGGACGCAATATTTATTAATACAGTGAGGTACTATGAGTCAACTCCTCCACTCCCTCTCTCACTTCCCTGCCTCAGTTTGACCCCTGTAGTCACCTTCTCCCTGGTCCTCTTTGGTGGGCCAATAGATGTGTTTCTCTGGGGGTTATCTGAAAGACCCTCCCACTCAAGAGAAAGCATATTTGAATCTAATCCTGCACACTTGGCAAGTGGAAAATTAAAAACGATGAAAATGGCAGCCACCAATCTCAATACATCTATCTTTAAAAAGGCATAAATATGTATTAAGGAATTCTGGCCTAATTTTTTAAGGTGTAATAACGGCACTGTGGTTAAGTCTTAAAAGAGTGATTATCTTTTAGAGACATATCCCAAAGCACTTGTGGATGAACAACAACAAAAAATCATTATGAACTGAAGTCTACGTAAATATCTCCATAAATAATTCACAGGTTTCCACAATGACATTACAATTGTGATTTTAAGAAACTTTTCGCCACAAAAAGGGATTGATAAGGAAATAAGACTTAAGATATAAACAAACATACTAATTTGACATTAACTGATAATCTATTGTCAACAGCAGTCATCTTACATGTTCTATAGCAGGAGTGGCAAACTACAACCCTCAGACTAAATGCAACCCAACACCTGTCTTTTAAATAAAGCTTATTGGAACACAGATACACCCATTCATTTACGTCAGTGTTTCTCAGCTAGAGACTGTCTTGCCCCACAGGGGGCTAGCAATGTCTGGGGAAATTTCTGGTTGTCACAATGGTTGGGAGGACTACTAATATCTAGTAGCCAGGGATACTGCTAAACACCCTAAAAAGCACAGGACAGCTGCCCATAACAAAGCATCTGGCCCCAATTATCAGCAGTGCCAAGGCTGAGATGCCCTGGTTTATACATTGCCTCTAGATGCTTTTACACTGAAACAGTAGAGATGAGCAGTCCTGACCGAGGCCATATGGCATATAAAACCTAACATATTTACTATCTGGCTGTTGGCAGAAAAAGTTTGCCAATTCCTCTCTACTAGAAACCATAAAATGTAAGTACTTCATGTATAGTACATTATCTATCAAGTCTAGAAAACTCCCTTTAACATTATTTCTTCTAGAAATGAGACAATTGACATTTTAATTTATACTCTTCTAGGCATATAAAGGGCTCTAATAAAAATTATGATATATTTTGATTCATTAAAGGGATATTTAAAACAGTGATTCTCAAAGCCAATCCACAGATCACTGACCTGCCATGATGATTTCACTGGCCCACAGTGACATGAGAAAAATAAAGACAAACTGGGGAGATTTTCATAAAGCTCATTTAATTCAGTGTAAAGGGCAGTTCTTCATGATTATATCTTTCCTATATTTTTAAGTATTACAATGCCCTTTCTTTTCTGAAACAATGCTGGCAAAATCTTTTCTAAAAAAATGTGGCAAAATTTAGAAGTTGTAGTAGTGGATCAAATCAGTAAAAATAATTATTGGTTCTTGAAATCCAAAAGTCAGAAAACCACTGATTTAGAGGCTTTTGCTCCAATTTGGGGATTTTCTGATGTTGAACATATTTCATATATCATTGCTGAAGGTATTTCTTAAATGTGTTTTGCAATGTCGAATAAGTGACGAACTACAGCTGAAGGCTTTTCCACATTCATTACAATCATATGGTTTTTCTCCAGTATGAATCCTCTGATGTTTAGCAAAGGATGAATCATGCCTAAAGGCTTTCCCACAATGACTACATTCATAAGGCTTCACTCCAGTATGGACTCTTTGATGGATAGAAAGATGTATTCTCTGGCTAAAGGCTTTCCCACATTCCTTACATTTATATGGTCTTTCCCCAGTATGAGTTCTCTGGTGCTGAGTTAGGTATGTGCTGTGACTGAAGGTTTTACTGCACACATTACAAATATAAGGTTTCACACCACTATGAATAATCTCATGTTGCCTAAGATGTCTAATTTGAAAAAATGCTTTTCCACAGTCTTTGCATTTAAAAGTCTTCTCTCTGACATGAGTTCTCAGATGCTGGATCAGCCCAATGCTCTGGCTGAATGCTTTCTCACATACACCACATTCATAGGGCTTCTCCCCAGTATGAATTCTAACATGTTGAGTAAGAGATGATGGATGTCTGAAGGTTTTCCCGCATTCCTTACACTCGTAGGGTTTCTCACCAGTGTGGATTCTCTGATGTGGAATAAGGGATGAACTCTGGCTAAAGGCTTTTCCACACTCCTTGCATCTGAAAGGTTTCTCTCCAGTATGAATTCTCATATGTTCTGTAAGATGAATGAGCTGTTTGAAGATTTTTTCACAAATACTACATTCAAAGGTTTTCATCCTTGTATAACTCCTTGAATGATTAATCAAATCTAAATTGTATCTATTTTTCTTTCCAGATAGGTCATATTTATGGTGTCTTCTTCTTGAAGGACCTATTGGTCCGGGAACAACTTTTGAGCTCACATTAATACTTTTCTCAAATTTGTTAGGTTCTTGGCCTCTCTCCTGAGTGAGTGTTTTCTTGCGGATCAAGGGGATTTGCCCCTCACCCATTCCTTGGTTCTCCTGGTGGTTTTCTAACTTATGACATTTGGAGACTCTTCCCAATGTGGAAATCAAGGTGCTTCCTCTTGTGGACCTTTCCATCATCAAGCCATGGTGTAATTCTTCCCATGAAATGTCATTCTTTAAAGTTGACTCTTTGGTTTCTGTTTTGCTCTCCAAGTCTAAAAGAAATTAAAAAATATAAATGACCCATATTCATTGCACTTGAAAAAATAAGCGGCCGTACTGAGAACAGGAGGGGAAAAAATAACATATACTAGATACAGGAGGCTTGGGCTGTCTTCAGATATGATCTTGCCACCTAGAGAGCTGATACAAAAGTAAAGGAATGGTCAAAGGAAAGAAGCTGTTAAAAGTGAAGTGACTTTAAGAAATTGGGAGGAGTTCATCCGTGTGAACTGGAAGAAGAAATGGACTAAGAAGAATCTTGGCATCATTGTACAGGCAAATATCAAGAGATAAGACAGAGATAAAGATTCTAACACCATATCTCCTCAAGCCCATATTTCTATGACAAAATTTTCTTTATTAAAAAAATTCAAGTCTTCATCTATAGTTTTTGCATGTTAAAATAAAACATTATATAAAAGTAATACATTTACTAAAAAGGGATAGCCTCTGTCAATCTCATCCCCATTCCTTTCAGTCTCTTAGGATTTTGAAATGCATTTGTTCACACATTTCCCAACAATATGTATATGTAAAGGTGTGAATTTGTATATAAATGGTGATATACATTTCTACAAAAAAAGGGGGATCATGGAATGCACACAGTTCTGCATCTGTTTTGTTTTGTTTTAACTCAACTATATCATATGGGCTTCCTCCCATGTCTGCACATTTAGATTTATCTCATTCTTTTTAACAACTGTATTGCATTCCACTTATAGATACATTATTTTGACTTTTCCTTACTGAAAAATACTTAGGTTGTCCCAAAGTTTTCACTTTATCATTCATTATACATAAATTTGTATACTTGTCTGTCAATATTTCATATGATTTATGAAAGAGGATGTATTGAGTTATAAATATGTGTGTTCTCAGTGAATATGGGTGCCTTTTCCTGAAAACTCACTGGATTTTATCAACCTTCATAATTTTTGCCTACATAAGAGATGAAAAATGGCTTCTTAATTTGTGACAAAAAACTGATTACACTGTAAAATCTTAAAGGATAGAGAATATATATTCTGTCTATAGTATACATGAGACAACAATTTTGGAAGAGGGAGTGTCCTGGAGTTTTACCCTCTAGTCCTATCCAACCATTCTGGACCATGCCATCCTAAAGAGGCGATGTTTCCCATTCACAGCAAAACCTTATTCCCCAGGATTTCTAACCTCATTTTAGTAATAGCCCATAAATTACTCAGTGATAGCTGGATGAATTTTGGAGTAAACTTAAAAAGCAAGTAAAGATATTTAGATCACTTACTACAGGGAATAAGGAGTTACTTGACTTTTCTTTTAGGGTAAGAACAAGATAAATGCGATATTTCATGTGGTCAAATCTGGCAGTAACATTCAAAATGATTCAGAAAAAGAAAATAAGACATCAATAAATGCAACTAGAAATTACAGTGATTGGCATGAGATGACGGGGACTGGCTTAGCAATGCTATCCACGGAGATGTAGACACTGTCTAGCAAGTAATATTAAAGAAGGAGCCACTGGGAATGAGGTGAAAACAGAGCAGAAAGCATGATACATTCTTGATATCATGATTTCCAGTCTCAGAGGCTGAGAGAACAGGAGGACTCAGGATGAGAATTTGTTTGGGAGAGAAAAAAGCTTCTTTTTTTGGATCTACTGGGTTTAAAGTGACAACATCTATATAGAGATGCCCCAAACACCAGGGATATGCAGGAATAGAGTTCATATGAATGGATAAGACAAAGAGGAAAATATGAAGAAGACAGGTGTCAAAGGGATAGCTGAAACCATTACTGTGCATTTGTGGGAGATGGTACAGAAACAGAGGAACAGCGTGAAAGACAGAGGCCCCTCAGGGGTTGTGGGAGGGGCCATGGGGTGTCCGCTGAAATCGCTCCTCCCCCATGAAGTGAATGAGAGGGCAAAGCGATGTGAACCATTCCAGGCTGGCCCCTAAAAGCCTCCCCAATAAGCCTTTTCTCCCTACTGCTGGCTAAACTTAGACAATATTGCAGCCCTAGGGGATGGTGGAGCCACCATGTGGAAGGAATCTCTGTACCTGAATTGCCAGGTGGAAAAGAACTGTCCATTGAACTAAACAATTCCCCAGACCAGTACACGAGAGAGAAATTCCTATTTTGTTTGAGCCAAACCTTAGAGTCTATTTACTACAGTAGTTCAGCCTGTCCTAACAGAGGCGTAAATGATATATCTTCATTAAAAAGGATACTTATGAGAAGCACTGAAAAAGCAATAAGAGAGGGGACAAAAATTATTAAGCTAGCTGGTAGGAAAAAAGATGCCAAGAAGGTAGTGAAGTCTGTATAACCTAATGCTGCCCTGCAGAATAGTGCCATAAGACCGTGAACCATGGAGCTAGGATGATTAGAATTCAAATACTGACTGCACCAAGTAGCAGCTAAATGGATCATGGACAGATTTCTTAAGCTAAGAGCCTTCTTTTCCTTTTGCAAGATGGGGTTAAAAAAGGCTCAGAACTCACAGAAGCCAGCCTGGAAAAGAGCTGTCATAATTACTGTTCCTAGAAGCTGAAGAAGACTGCTAAAAGCCATTGAATTTGGTAAGAAGGAACTCTGCAGTGATTTCTGACTGTCATAAATTATCTGAAATAAAAGTTAAATGGCACAAGTTTGAAAAAGTGTTGGAATTGAACCTATGAGCACAGAATAAGATTTAGGAAAAAAAATTTAAATGGAATCATCAAAGAAAGTGAAAGCCATGATTAAACAACTTGAGATTCCAGGGAAGGATGCTGTCTTTAATGAGGAGAGATCCATGAATATCTGAATGTACAGGAGAAAGAAACCATGATCAGGGTAAGGTTTGGAACCCGGGGAAAAGCAAGGAAACCACAAAAGTCAGGTCAGGAGAGATGGTGAAGGCAGCTAACCCTGATGAGAAAGGCATCTCTTTTCTTCTGACTCCACAGAAACTAACGAGAAGAGGCAAGTGCAGGAAAGCAGGGACAGAGTGCTAATCAGGTTTCTTGTGAGTCTCACCCAGGTGGCCTCAGCCACCTCCATGGCCTGCAGAAGCCTTTAAGCAGAGCTCTCTGGCAAACATGACAAAGGCCCTGTCTGCCTTGCTCTTACCTGGACTCGGACCTCCTGAAACCTCTCTCTCCGTCAGCCATGGTTCTTCGCCTTTCTCCAACTGGGAAATCACACCAGGTTTGGAAAGCTGATATCCTGCTCATGGAGAAGAAAAAACTGCATGTGCTGAGGTCAAAGAGGCATCCCAAGAATTTTCTTTGTCTTTCAGGCCTTCTGAAGGGTAGAGCAGAAAGACCAGGGCAGAGAAGACCACAGGAATCCTGACTTGCTATTCAGAAGGAACCAGAAATCTGTAACACAGAACCCAAAGCCCAAGCATAGCACTTCGCTTAGAAATAAAAGATTTTTATTCCAATAGGCAGGTTCTAGTTACAAAGGGAGCCCATCCTTACCCACTGAGACCAGGTGCCCATAGTTCTCCAGCATCACCTCCCGGTACAGATTCCGGTGAGCAGGGGCCAGCTGCCCCCACTCCTCCTGGGTGAAGTCCACACATATGTCCTTGAAGGTCAACAGTTCCTAGAACACCAAACATGTCCCCTTTCAGCCAGAGTTCAGGAAGTTGGTCTAAACTTGTCGAGATGCTAAGAGACTCTAGCCAAGTTTCTCTGGCCACCCTCTTGAAAGCTGTTCGGCTGATTCTCTGCTGGAGGTTACAAAACAATGCAGGGAGTGTATAAGTTGTATTTTTCAACTTACAATTTGGCTGAAGGCAAAATACTCATGAACTCTATGAAGAAGGTGACAGAACAGTATACAGTAATTTAGATTAAGGACAATAAAGATTAGGAAAACTTGAGAAAGGGGAAAGTCCAAAAGGGGCTAAGGCAACTAGAGAAGACAAGGACCCTGGTGGGGCTGAAAGAACTGGTTAAAATGAGAACATTTCAGCATGGGTAAAAGACCGTGGGCTCGGCATTTCTGTTAGTAAGAAAAGTAGGCGAGAATAGCACATTTTTGGAGAGGGCGTGACTTCCACCTAGTAAGGAAGTTCCTTTGATCAAGGCAGACACTATTGTGAAATATAAGAGCCAGTTATGAACAATCTACACAAATTAAATAACCATTAGACAGTTATTTTTATAAACGTTACCAAATGTGAAGAGAACCCAGGAGCCAGAAGGCTGAGATAAGAACAAATTCCTTAAGGATGGAGACTATTTTAATGCTTTTTATGCATTGTAAATAATTCTGGAGTGCAGTTCAGGCCTATTGGGCTGACACTGGCATCCATCTCTAAGAATATCTCCTTCTGTATCAGTTTTCTCTGATTTCTCTGTAATTCTCTTGAGTTTCCCTATGCTTCTGGGATTTGCTTGTGCAGAGCTTTGCCTGCTGCCAGTGCTACTGTCTTCTGATGAGCTCATTTATGATACACAGACACTATTGGGCCGCCCTTGGAAATTTCCCTTCCTTGTCTGCTCAGCTGATTTAGTTTGCGCCCTTTGTGACCTGCCAGTAGCTTCTCTACTCACTTTTCTATTCATCTACAGTTCTGCTCCAGGAACATGACCAAAAATCCTCTTTTAAAGGTCATTAATGAAGTTTATACAGCTCCAAGAATATCAGAACCTCACTCTGTTCTTTTTAAAAGGTTGCTTTAAAAATGTTTTACAATGTTTGTTTTTCCCCTGGAGGACATCCGGAGAGGTTTAAGGGCAAGAACTACATTATATACTTTTACACACACACACACACACACACACACACACACACTCAACATGACTTGTAAATTTGTTGGATTAATGGCTAGAGGTTTGCTAGAAACAAGAGGGTTCCTGAAGAAGGTTACTACCAATGGTGGAAATTATCTGTGAAATCAATTCACACAGCTTGGTTTTGAACAAGCTAAGAAAATATAATCCAGGAAGTCGAGTCAAAGAAAATTAAAAGTCCAGGGCTCTTAAAAAAAGGGATAGACTGGGATTTCAAAATTGTAGAACAGATAAACAAGATTACACTGTATAGCACAGGGAAATATACACAAAATGTTATGATAAATCACAGAGAAAAAAATGTGACAATGAGTGTGTATATGTCCATGTATGACTGAAAAATTGTACTGAACACTGGAATTTGACACAACACTGTAAAATGATTATGAATCAATAAAAATGTAAAAAAAAAAATCTGAGAAACAACTGCAGGAAAGTTACAGGAAATTCCAACCCACCTGGGGTTCTGCTGTTAGGGACCCAGAGGTCACCTCATCCTCAAAACATTCTCTCAGGGTCTCATCAGCATCCTGCAATGGCAGAGCTGAGGAAGGAAAAGAGCTATGAGGTTTGTATCTCCCCAAACCCCCAAATAGAAAAGCTGCCTGCAGACCTGCAGCTATCTCACACATTCACAAAGAGGGACACCGAGAGTAACGCAAGAGCAGACTGGAGCCTCCATGGTGAGGAGGAGCTGCAGGGCACTGATTGGGGGATGAATGTTTCCCAATGGCCAATGCTGGTCCAAAAGCACAGACCTATCAGGACATTCCTTTGTTCAAAAATCCTCAGACGTTTTCCATTTACAAGAAAGAAAAATCCAAGCACTTCACCATAAACTTCAAGATCCTCTACAACCAGTCCAAAGCTGCTTCTCCAAGTATTACCTGCCTCTAAACACCATCCTTTGCCCACTGGACACACCCACTGCATCATCCTATTCACCATTCTTTGACTATACGTGACCTATGGCACCCATCTCAGGACTTTACCCCAAATCCTACTCAGTGAAAAACTGAGGTATCCTTCTAGACCAGTTCAAGTGAAGCTTTCTCAGACCCCATTAATGAGAAGAAAGCTTCCTCTCCCTTGTATCCCCGTAAAGCTGGGTTTTTATCTCTGCGCTGGTATCTAACTCAGGCTACCTCCTATTATGTTTATTTTTATAATTGTCTCCCCCAATTGAGTATTATTAGCATGCATAAATGCATAGAAATTATATCTGGTTCATTTTTTTCCATTGTTTAAGTTAAGCTTAATACCCTGCCAGGCTGCTAGAATTCAAGAAACACTGGCTGAATTTGAGGCATTAAAAATATGAACTAGTCACTAAGGCACACGAATTACTGTCCTTGTGTTTTTCCCCTAACTTTTTATCATGATATTGAACAGCCACATATCTACTACCTACATTCAACGATCGTTAACATTTGCCATATTTGCTTCATCTACCTGTATGTTTTTTCTGAACTACTTCAACATTGCAGACATCATGATACTTCCTCCCTAAATACTTCAAAGAATCTTCTGCATAACCATAAAAACATTTATCATACTTCAGAGAGTTAACAATAATTCCATAGTATCATCTAAATATTCAGTCCGTATTCAGACTTCTTCAGCTGTTCCCAAACTGTCTTTTATTCTGGATTTTATCCAAACTAGGAGCCAATCAAGGCTCATACAGTTAAAGGGGTTGTTATTCAAAGTCTCTCTTACTCTAGATAGTACTTCCCTTCTTTTTTAAGACATTGGCTTTTTAAGAGACCAACACCATCTTACTATATCCTCATGATGGGGTTTATCTTACTTCTCCATCCCCTGTAATTTCTTTAAACAGAGCTTAAGCCTTTAAGCTTAATTTGTATCAGGCTAAACACTTTAAACAGGGATACTTCATGGGTGATACCATGTGCTTTACATTATATGACCCAGAAGGCTCAAACAGTCAGGTTATCCCATCACTGGGACACTTGGTTAAGATGGTGACCACCAGATCTTGCGGTTAGAAAAGTATGTTCTTTCCCTGGCATTTAGCAAGTGATTTGTGGGGGCAATACTTTGATACCATGTGAATATTCTGTTCCCCAACAACCTTCCAGTTATTCCACTTACAGTAAAATATTCCATCATTCCTTCTACATTTATTATTAGCAGGTATTTTCTGAAAATTATCTAAAAAGCAAGGTAAATGCTGCATCCTTCATTCCCATAAAAATCTATTTTCAAAGTGATAAATCAGTGTATTAGCCACTTCTAATGTTGGCATGAGTTTTCCCCTGCTTCTTAATTTTAAGTGTCATCATGAACTTACGGAATGTTATTTACTCAAGATGTTACAATCAATCTGGACACTTAAAACTGTCCTAAGTTTGAACTGGGCTGTTGCATACTTCTGGTACACGTCCATTAGTCTTTGAGTTCTTCTTTACTTTTCTAGCACAAGATACTCCAGGCTCACTTGGTACTTTCCCTGCTGCCTTCTACTTCGGACCTACCCACCAAGCACCTGGACAGGTCACTCATTTCATTCACATTTCTTCACTATAATATCAGGAAAATCAAGCAAGTCGTCCCAGCCCCACACAGCCATGGGGAAGATAAAAAGAAGTAACATACACGGTCATGACACTGAAATACTGGTTTTAGGTTGAGCTAACCACCACTATGGAAAACACCAGGCTAGAAGCAATAATCAAGTAACTCCAGAGATCTTTTACCCAGTTGTCTCCCCCAAGAGATGCTTCTGCTCCAGTGTCTACTTTCCTTCCCACACTAGAGGATGCTGCTTTTCCTGCCTCCCACCCAGCAATCTATTCTCACCTTCTCCTTCAAATATCTTCATCACATCCTCCCACACGGGTGCCCTCTCCTTGGCCTTCTCTGGATGGTGTAACTTCACCCAGGTGCTGGCCTCGGTGGGCAGGGTGATCAGGAGCTGCTGGAGCATGATGGCTTCAGTGTTCCTTTCTGGGGAACTCTGGTGCAGCCCACAAGGCAGAGAGTCCTGCCTTGGCTTGTCCACTTTGATGAGGAAACTGCTGGAAACTGTGATGGGAGGTTAAACAGATGCACAGGTGTCCTCCACTCTCAGGAACCCTGGGAACATACAATGCCAAAATCCGGAGTCTGGACCTTTTACTCTCCAGGCTCTCAAGGAATATCTCCCATTCTTGAGCTCCATCTGTCTCCTCAGCAGGCAGGTGGAAGCTCCAGGTCAGGGGACCTTTACAGTCCCCTGACGATGCTAAGCAGAAAGCATCAAGAGTCAGCAAAAGGATCTAGAAAGTTCACTCACATGGTCAGAATTCTAGAACTTGCACCAATCACTGAAAAGTTTTTTTTACAAAAGATACACGGAGACAGTGGATATACACAGTTTACATGGTCTGAAACACTATGCTGGTGTCGTGAAGCGTAAAGAGACAAATAAAACCCAATTCTTTGTTTTAGGCAGTACTATATTTAAAGTAGTCTGAGATTTGTAATCAAGAAGGATCTGGGTTTGAATCCCAGCTCCTTCACTAGTTGGCTGTGGCAAATCGCATAACCCCTCTTACCCTGTTTCCTCCTCCTTAAACGGAAAGATAAAACCTTTCTCCTGGGCTGGACCGGCCGGTCCCAGCCCTCGCAGCCTTTGTCTGAGACCGACTCTGGGGCGCGGGGCGCACCGCGCGCCACGGGAGATGGCGGGCCGGGCGGAGGTGGCGCTTCCCGGTTCGTCCCCTCCCCAGACCAAGAGAGCCCCCGCTCACCCCTCTCACCTGCCTGTACCGCACACCTTCGCCCTCTCGCCTCTGCGGGCGGGTCTCCGCGCTGCGACGAGATGCTCCGAGGTAGCGCAGCCCTGCCTTTGCGCGTGCGCGGCAGCAGCCTCCGCTCGCGGCTCCCAGCGTCCTCCGGCGTAGCCCGCCCGCTCCAGGCGCCTCCCGGGATGCGCGCTCGGCGGTGCCGACTCTCTGGGTTTGCCCGCAACCAGGGGCCGAACCCAGGTGAGGCAGCCGCTCCTGCGGAAGGTGTCGGAGCCTGTGTCGTCGTCCCCACCGGACACTACTGAAGAGAACCAGTTCTCCTCTGCCAGGAATTGACGTGTAAATATTTCCGTGGGGAGACTTGAAACCCTTGACAAAGGGAAACATCTATCTTTTTTTTTTTTTCCGGTCGAAACAACATTGCTTGTTTTAAAAGAATGTATGCCACTTTCACGTAATATGAACGTGGAAAAGACTGAAAGTGCAATATAGTCAAATGTTTTCAGTAAAAGAATACCATGATCGGGTTGGTTTTTGTTCTACTGTTCAATTAATTCTTACGTTAATTGCTTTCCTTATATTTCTGAAATGCCACAAAATACAAATTATGACCTATAATCTCACCAGGCAGAGTAAGCATTGCCAACATTTGCTGCACAAATGTACCTATCTACACGCACACGCACAGACTCACTCACACACACCATTTATGTTTTTGTTTTTTCGTGCATTTTAATTTTTTTTTGCAAAAAATGATTATACTGTAATGCTGTTTTCTCTTCTACATCAATAGCTTACAAAAATAACAATTTAGAAAATGGAATAAAACTGTGATCGCTAGCTGTTACGAACTGAATGTTTGTGTCTCCCACATCCAGCCCCCCAAATTCATATGTTGAAGCCCTAATCCCTAGTGTAGCTATATTTAGTATTTGTAGTAAGGAAGTACAGATCTTCCTGGACTTATGATGAGGTTACATTTGGATAAACTCGTAGTAAATTGAAAATATCATAAGTCAAAAATGCATTTAATACACCTACTGAAAATCTTAGCCTAGCCTGCCTTAAATATGCTCAGAAAGCTTACATTACCCCACATTTGGGCAAAATCATCTAAGAGAAAGCCTATTTTATAATAAAGAGTTGCATATCTTGTAATGTTCTGAATACTGTACTGAAAGTGAAAAACAGAATGCTTGTCTGGGCACAAAATGGTTGTAAAGTGTATTGTTTTGCCCTTGTGATCATGGCTGACTGGAAACTGAGGCTCACTGCCACCACCCAGCATCATGCGAGAGTATCATATGTTGAGTATCAACATTGCTAGCCTGGAAAAAGATCAAAATTCAAAATTTAAAGTATGATTTCTACTGAATGCATATCCCTTTCACACCATCCTAAAGCTGGAAAAATCATAAGTTGTGGATTGTCTGTATTTAAGATTAACAGGTCCTAAGAATGGGCCCTAAACCCAAAGGATTTGTGTCCTTTTAAGAAGACACACCAGAAGGCTCAATATTTCTCTGAAGGCAGACACTGAGGAAAAGTCATGTGAAGATTTAGCAAGAAATCACCATGTACAAACCAGGAAAAGAGCCCTTACCAGAAATTGACCCTTCCAGATCTTGATCTGGGACTTCCAGCCTTCAGAACTATGAGAAAATAAATTTATGTTGTTTAAGCCACAGAAAGCTTTGATATTTTGTTATAGTAGCCCAAGCAGACTAATTTACTAGCATATAGTATTTACAGAGTATGAAGGTTTCTTTTTAAATGCACAACGTATTTTAATAAGTCCTCTTAACAACACCTTGAAGCAAATACTATTATCATTCCCACTTTACAGATAAGAAAGCTGAGGTTTGGAGAAGTTAAATAACTTGCCTAGCATCATACAGCTCGCAAATAGTGGATCCAGGCAGTCTATACTCCTACCCACTACTCAACAAAAACACAGTATAAAATACAGTAAAATGCTAATGGTAGGGTTTAGGTATTGGTGCATGAGTGCTCCTGGAAAAATATTGCTAAGAATAAACAATAAGAATTATGCAAGACATTATATATAAAACCACACCAAAATTTGCTGATTTAAATGGAGAGAATAGTGACATACACCATATTTATGGATTGAAATAGAACATTATAAATACATCACTCTTCTTCCACTTTAATGCTCCCCAATCAAAATCTCAACTTTCAAAAAAAAAAACTAAATTAAATGACTCTAAAGTTGACCTGGAATGGTAAATATTCCAGAAAGGCCAATAAAACTTCCAACAATAATACAGTCAGACTTGACCTACCAATATAATTGTATATAATGGGTATAATTTGCCCTATTATCTTGTATTATAGAGGCATAACAATTAAAATAATATTCCAACCCTAGTAGCAGTGAGAAACTAAAATTATTCAGAATAAATTTAATAATAAGAAAATGTAGATGAAGAAAATGAAAATAAAAATTATTAAAAGTCATAAAACAAGATTCAAATAAATGTTAAAGCGTATAATATTTGAGGAAGATTTGATAACATAACTATCAAATAATATAAAACTTTGTTACAATTCCTATTAAAATCTCAACAGGAGGAGGGTGCAGCTCAAGTGGTAGAGCGCATGCTTAGCATGCAGGAGGTCCTGGGTTTAATCCCCAGCACCTCCTCTAAAAAATAAAGAAATAAATAAACCTAATTACCCACCCCAAAAAAGAATTAAAAAAAGATTTTAAAAAATTTCAACAGGGTTTCACTTTGACTTTGGAACTAGATTAAAATGATCTTACTGTGTAGCACAGGGAAATACATACAAGATCTTGTGGTAGCTCACAGCGAAAACAAATGTAACAATGAATATACGTATGTTCATGTATAACTGAAAAATTGTGCTCTACACTGGAATTTGACACAACATTGTAAAATGACTGTAACCCAATAAAAAAAAAGTTTAAAAAAATCTTAAAATTTACATGCAAGAATAAGGGTCCAAGAAGAGACAAGAAAAGTAAAGAAAAGAACAATGATGGGAGACTTGCCTTGCCAGGTATCACAACATACTGAAAAGTCATCTTGGCCATAGAATTATGATACTGGTGTGAGAAGTGGCAAATAAAACAATGGAACAGACTAGGGAATCCAAAAATAGATTCTAGTATATCTGAGAATTTATTAAATGACAAAGTTGGTAGCTCAATTCAGCAGGAAATGGATGAATTGCTTAATCAGTGAAATCTATAGAATTTTAGTATTTATCAATCTGGAAGAAAATAAAAATGGATCCATATCTTAAACCATATTCAGAAATAATTTCAGTTGCATTAGACCCTTAAATATAAAAACAGAACAAAAATCTTGCAGGAAAATACAAACGATTACATATGCAATCTAACAGTGGGAGAAATGCTTTTAACCGAGTCTGAAAACTTGATCAAGATACTTGACTAGATAAAAATTAAAATCTTTTGCCGGCAAAAGATCCCTTAAACAAAGTCAATAGAAAGAAGACACATTTGAAAAAGATATTTGTAATGCAGATGACAGACAAAATATGTATTTGACGGACTCTAAAACATCATTTATTTTAAAACACACCATTATTTATGTACTACTAATAAAGGAAAATGCTGCGATTAAATTAAAGCACTACTTCTTATAGGATAAAATTTTATTTAATACTTAGTGGAGGAGCATTTTCAGGTTATTTTTAGGCTTAGATTTTTATCACATCTCGTGCTACTCTGTTTCTGTGCCTTTCTACGTACATCATAACTTTTTCATTGTAATGTCAAACCACTATGTAACTTTTAAGACATTTAACATAGTAATTAAACTCAGCAGATCCAGTATCAACAATGCGCATAACCTAACCAATGCTTGGGCACTCACAGTCTATGAATTATATCTCAACTACTGATTTCAAATCAGCTTCACTCATGTAAAAGAGGTAGAGGTGAGGGGAGAAAAAGAAATAGTCCAACAGGAAAATGGGCAAAGGATATGGTTAGACAATTCGCAGAAGAGAAATCCAAATAGTCAACATGCATGTGAAAAGATAGCCAAACATGCAAATTAAAGGTAATAATGAGACATCACTTTACACCCAAACTGTGCAAAAATAAGAACTATAACAGCTATTACAAGCGGGAATCCAGGGAGAGAATATTCCCATATGTTGGTGGTCAAAGCGGGTACCCCCCTTTCTGGAAAGCAACCTGGTAACATGTCTTAAAATAAAACATATATGCTCTTTTGACAAAACATCCCTACTCTGCGAATCGATCCCTTGGCGGGGAAAATGGCATTGTTACAGAGGACAGCTATACGGGGATGGTTACTGCAGAACTGCCTTTACCGAAGAAAATAGGAAACTGCTGAATAATTGATGATGGGCCCACGCCCAAGATTCTAAAAAAGGTCTTAAAAAAGAATCAGAGCTGTACCATCACTTGGTGGGATTTCCGTGAGATATTTTTAAGTGAGAAAGTCTTAAATTAAGTCAAGTGAACTTGATATTTAATCAGCTTTGATATACAAAGGCAATTTCATATGGTTCAGACTAATAATTATCCCCCAAACATGTCCGTTTGTGTATATATGTATGTAAATATATTAACATACTATATACATACTTAAATTGGTGAGGATAATCTGAATAGAGAGAAAAATACATACCATACTCCTAACATGCATGAATCAAACAAAAGGAATATAACATGATCCAAAAGCAGGCTATTATGACACTGAGCTTGAACTGGGTATTTATGCCAAATGATGTTGGTTGCATCGTATTGAAACCCTCAACTCCCGTTTCCATTGTAATAAATGTATTGAAAAACAGAACACATTTTTCTACTGTAAATTGGAAAGCATTATATGTCACAAAGTATAATAAAAATATTAAATCCAAGAAATTAAAATTTTAAACAAAACAATGAAAAGAAACAATAATAAATCCAGCCAATTTACAAAAGTACATATCTACAAAATAAGTTTCTCAGTGTGAAGAATGGAACTGTTTATCAGTTTAAAAGTGGGGAGAGATATTTGGATTAATGTCACTTACTAAAAATAAAAAAGGTGGGCTTTTATATTAATAGGTTCCCCGTTTTCAGGTTTGGTATGATCCAGCACTGGAAATCCTAATTCACATGCATTCTTGGTGTATAAGGGCAAGGTAACTCCATCTCCAGTGCAGTTAGAAACTATCCAAAATTGAGAAATTTTTGTTTAATTAACCGTTATTTATCAATAGGACATCTAATACAATATCTAGAATTTGATCTTCAAAATGTGTTATTTGATTAAAGATCAAAGATACTGGAGAGAGGGTTTCTTATCTATTCATTGCTGCAATCAGATTCA